CTGTTTCTCAACTCCGGCAGTTTCCAAATGTGTGGACTTCAACTCCCAGAATTCCACAACCAGCATCTGGAGGGGCCAGAGTGTGTCCAACGACGTGGTCTGGCTGAAAGCTGTACTGCTCCAACGGGCGTGGATAGGCGCTCCCTCCAGTGGCCTCTGCAGTGGCTGTCTCTTTGTTGTCCGACTTGATGGAGTCTGGGCCAGTGGGCAAGGTGCAGATTGAATCCAGCCCAGCAAAAAGCTTCTAAGGAACTTGGGAACTATCTTTTTGTCTGAATTTGGGGTGTTTTAAGGCATCCTGACCCTGCTTCTGGAGGTTCTGGCTTGCTCTGGTTTCCATTTGTCTTAGTGGAGCACATCAGTCCAGAGCATGGCAGAGATTTCCACAGACTTTATGTTGCAGGAAGTGTTTCTGGCTCCACTGAACAAACTGCTCATCAGGTCTGGTGCCTTTTTCATTCCATCCTGAGAACAACTGTTCAGTCACGCCTTTCTTCTTTCTGACCATACATCCTTCAAGGTTCAGATTGGGCAAAACCTGGCTCAAAAACAGTAACTGTGAGAGGGACCTTGGAGTCCCACTTAAACATGAGCCAGCAGTGTGGGGCAGCAGCCAAAAAAACTAATACAATTCTTGGTTGTATAAACAGAGACATAGACTCAAAATCACATGAAGTATTAGTACCGCTTAAAGACGAGGTGGTCAACTTATTTTCTAAAGCACCAAAAGGCAAGACAATGGATGGAAGCCGCCATCTGCGCATTGTAAGCTGCCCTGAATCTCCGGAGAAGGGCGGCATATAAATCAAATTAATAATAATATTAATATTAATAATAATAATAATAATAATAATAATAATAATAATAATAATAATAAAAAACGTTTGCAGTGCAAAAGCCCTCACTTATCTGCAAGACCTGGGAATGGATGTTTTGGTTTTCCTTCAGCTATTGTCCTGCCCCAGCCTGGGTGCAAGGGGCAGGTTTCAAAACCCATCACTACTGGTTCACTCGTGGGCACGGGTGCACACGCGTGACACTTCTGCACATGCGCAGAAGCATCTGGGTGGGTGGGTGGAGCCTCCCACTGCTGCCTCTACCGGTTCACCCGAACCGGTAGCAACCCACCACTGCTGGGTACCCTCCAGATGTGTAGACTGTAGTGCCCAGAATTCACCAACCCACCTGGCCAGTGCTGGGAATCTAGAAGGTATCCAGGTCTCCTTTCAGAGAGAGAATCATGATTTGTTGGAGGGCGGGCAGGGGGGAAAAGGTTGGGTCTGTTTCATGGAAAAGCTACTAGGGCCCCTTAGACTGCCATAAGCCAGTAATAATTAGCCATAGTATATTGTATACACGATTGGCTGAGGGTCAGAAAACTTTGAGTCATAAATCAAGGTCATGCAACATGGTAGGCGGAAGAGTGAGAACTGTGCCTGGATTCTCTCTAGGCCAGGGGTGTCAAACTCAAGGCTTAAATCTGGCTTGGAAATATCAAAGGACTGGCCTGCGGTGCCTCTGCCGGCCAAAACGGGCCGTGGGGAGGGGCATTTTCAGCCGGGGAGGTTGAAAACGAGGCATGGGGGAGGGGGCGCACGCCCTCCCACGCCCCCTTTTGGCTGGCAAAGTGCTGCAGGAGGCATCCGTCCCGGCTCCCTCCCATTCTGCTCCCCCCTGCTGGCCTGCGGAGGAGAACCACAATGCTGATCCGGCCCTTGAAGAAATCCAGTTTGATACCCCTGCTCCAGGCCTTTGAGGGTGAATTGGTGGGTGGGTGCTGATATATGCTCTGAACTAGAAGCCTGTTTGCACCACAAAGGACCTACTTTTAATTGGGGTCAAACTCTTGTAGCTCTCCTTCCTTCCCTCTAACACTCTTGCCCTGGCTGTCCAATAGAAGACCTCATTTGGCTTCTCTTCCTGAGGGCAATTCTTTGATAAAATGAAGGGTAAAACTTAGGAAGAACAGTTGCAGGAATTGGGTATGTCTAGTCTAGTGAAAAGAAGGAGTAGAATGGAATAGAATAGAATTCTTTATTGGCCAAGTGTGATTGGACACACAAGGAATTTGTCTTTGGTGCATATGCTCTCAGGGTACATAAAAGACAAGATACACTCACCAAGAATCACAGGGCACAACACCCTGTGGGTGTAGGAGAAGGGGTAACATGCTAGCAGTCTTCCAGTATTTGTGGGGCTGCCCCAAAGAAGAGGTGGTCAACCTATTCTTCAAAGCACCAGAAGGCAGGACAAGAAACAATGGATGGAAACTAACTAAGGAGAGAAGCAACCTAGAACTAAGGAGAAACTTCCTAATAGTGAGAACAATCAATCAGATGAACAAGTTGCCTTCAGAAGTTGTGGCTGCTTCAATACTGGAAGCTTTCAAGAAGAGACTAGGCAACCCTTTGTCTAAAATGGTACAAGATCTCCTGCTTGAGCAGGAGGTTGGACTAGAAAACCTCCAAGGTCTCTTCCAATTCTGTTATTCTGATAGTTCATCTGCTTGTATATAAATAAATTGTGGGTTTAAAAAGCCAAGAGGTTTAACTTTTGGTCAGGTTGTAACCTGCCCTATGAGACTAGTATGGATTGTGTTTTTGAATGCCATAATCCTGGCATAGGACCCCCAGCACAAATAATAGTATGCAACTTTCTCAGTCGCCCATCCTGGTTTTCTGGGAGAGGCAAATGGTTTAGAAAACCTTTGGAAAAGAGCAGTGATAGTTCTGGAAACTTGTATAGCCTTAAAAACAGTGGCTGGAGGTTGGATCTGGCCTGGGACCAGAGCTTCCCAGCCCCACCAACTTCAAGATGTGTGCACTTTAACATAGTTCTGGCAGTTGAGGCTCATACATCTGGAAGTTGTTGAGGTTAAGAAATATTAATCTAGACTATATGTACAAATTAGGGCCCTGGAACAATCTTGGGTCCTTCTAGAAGTTGTCGCCTAATTGTGATTTTTAATCTGGCAGAAGGGAGAGTTACTAAAGGAATTATTCTAATTTACTCTTGATTTACTCTTAATTTGATTCAGTTTATTTTTGGTTATTCTGGTTCCATTCAGTTTTGTAGAGCATTTATCTGTAAGGTGGATCCAAAATGTCAGGTTGGGTTTTTGCGTAAAGCCCATTTAGGGTTCATGCATCATGTGAAACCCTAACTCAGTTTGGTTTGAACTAAGAGAGCTGAGTTTCTAGCTTAGCATGTAGCAGGAATGCCACAGCATCTTTGGTTGAATTAGTCAATTCTTTAGAGAGCAGGATGCTGAAGGTGAGTCTTTGCCAGGCACGGGAGAGGGAAAATGATGGCAGTCACATTTATTTTATCTAATTCATCATATTTGTGCAACTTACAATGTCTAATTTCATGTTATGATGAGCTCTGATGCTCGGGCAATAGAACCTTTCTTGACAATTTCTGGAATCAAGTTATCCCTGCAAGCGGCCTCTCGTGTGCATTGGCACAGTGGCAACTGCGGGCCTTCGGGCTGCTGTGCTCTTGGGGGAACCGAACGGCTTTCTGGGTTGTTTTTTCTGCCCCCTCCTGCCTGTTTTCCTGCACAAGGGCTCAAGAGGCAGAGGGCTACATTTGGGTCCTTTATAGAAGTACAAGGGCCATCTGCTTGGAGAAGGCAGGCAGGTGCTGCCACCAGAGGCTGCATTTAACTTTACCAGATACTGTAGATGAAACACTCAGCAGGAATCCAACCACAAGCTTTTCTCTTGATTGCCGGGGTTGCTGGTGAAGAAGACAGGACAGCACCCCGTCTTTTCCCTTTGTTCCCTCCACATCGCTTGGTCTCAGGGTTGGAGCTCAGGCCGCTCCCTCGGCTCAGCTCTTCTGCAAGGGGGCAGGTGACTCTCTCTGCTTTCATCCCAGGGAAACGCCCCCCCCCCACCACACAAACTGCCAGAGAAGCCTGATATAAGGGTCGGCTTGGTGTTTAGGACGTCTTTCTGAGCCCCAACCAGAGGTGTTGGGGTTGCATTCCAAAGAGCTGTTCCTTTTCACTGAAATAGAACCCTAGAGTGGTGGGGATAAACCTCTGTTTTAGGAAGCAGAAGGAAGTTTGGGCAGGCTCCATTTCACAACTATTTAGGGTGGTTGTTATAATAATAGAGAAAAACAGTGTTTCTAAGGAGGACCTTCTGCAATGTTGATTCCAAAATACACAATTGCAGCTTTTGAATGAACCTCTGCAGGGTATGTCTTTATATTGCTTTAAATATTTCATTGCACAAAGAGCTTTTGGGCAAGCTGTCCTGTGGAAATTGCATTGGAAATAATCTGTGGCCTGATTTTTTTGGAGAGAAGTTGAAAAGAAAAGGAGATGGATAAGGTTTTGGAACTCCAAAGAAGCCTTTGCGTTTGCCCATTAAAAGCTTAAGTACAACCCAATAAATGGTGAATGGGCTGCTCTCTCCCCCCCCCAACGTGTTAGACTTTGAGTCCTTCCCATAAGTTGCCCATTGTTTGGCTTGTGGATTGGGACCTATGGAAGGTGAAATCGTGCCTGGAAGGGCTTATATAGGGCGTGTTACTATTTTTCACTGTTGATGGCTGCCTCCTCCTTTATCCTTCAGGCTGTTCCACTCTTTTGAACTCTCCTCCCTCTAAGGCATCAGAATCTTTTCTGTAACCTGGGGGTGGATATGACTTCCTAGTAACTGTAATGCTATCGGTTCCCCCTATTTTTCAACCCAACACCCCCCCCCCCCTTAATCAGTATGGAAGGCTTACCCAGATGACTTCTTGCCCTTTGAGAGATGTGAAAAACATCTTGGAAACATGGTCTCTGCCCAGTTGTGTGAAGTTCTCAGCCTGCCTCCTGGAGAACATAAACAGTGGCATGTCTGGATCCCAGTTGCCTGGTTGTCACTCTGAGCTACGTTCCCAATAGTGGTGCTGCCATTTTTAGTTAAGGGATTGTCTTGTAGCTAAGATTGTGTTTTGTGGGGTGTGCTGGGTTTTTAATGGATTTCTCCTTCTAATTCCAGATTAGTGTGAGAGTGACCACCATGGATGCGGAGTTGGAATTTGCCATTCAGCCCAATACAACGGGGAAACAGCTCTTTGATCAGGTAAGGCGGCTGGACAGGAATCATGGACTGTGTCATTTAGAAGGCCTTGTTGGATTGTCCTCCTCAAATCTGCCCTGGTCAGATCCCCTCGAGGGCCCTGGGTTGAGTTCTGGCACTACCACAGTTCACAAAGAACAACAAATTGAATGACTCCAGAGGCTTCTAAGGCTTCTAAGATGATGAATCTGGAAATGAAATCCTGTGAGGAGGACTAGAGAAGAAAGACAGGAGAGATGCAAAAGCATTCTTTAACTCTCTCTGAAGGTTTCTCATGCAGAAGAGGGAGTAGATTCGTTCTCTGTCCACCCAGAGGACAGAACCAGAAGCAGAAATTGCAGGGAAGGACTGCCAAAATGATGGAGGCTCCAGAAACCAAATTCTGTGGTTAGAAGTTCTGAGTATGTTTAGCCTACAGGAGAAAGGACTTAGAAGAGAAAGATGATAGCAGTCTTCAAACATGGGAAGCGTTGTCATGTAGAGGAAGACGTGAACTTATTCTCTGTTGCCTCTGAGAGGAGGATCAGGGCCGATGGGTTACAATTGGGGGAAGGAGCCTCAGGCTAGACATCATGAGGGGCATCCTAAAGCCGTTTCAGCCAGCAGGATGGCTGCCCTGTTAATTGATGAGTTCTCCTTGCTAGAAGTGTCCAAACAGAGGCTTGATGCTCATTGGTCAGAGATCCAGGTATTGAACTTGGACTAGGATGCTATAATTTTGTCATATGCTAAATCCATGTTAATAAACACAATGGCAGGGCTCGGTTAGTATGTTTTACCCAAATAACCGTATACCTGGCTACGTTGCTGAGCCGGGGCCCCGGAATGCATTAAGAGTCCCATTCCCTGGCTATCTGGGCTGCTATGTATATTTACTTTGGATGTTTCTTTTGTTTCTATTGTTTTAAAATGTTATTAGTATTTTGACTGTAATATATTTTTTGACTTGTAAGCCACCCAGAATCCCTGACCAAGATGGGCAGCTATAGGAATTGAATGAATGATTGATTCATTGAATGAATGAATGAATGAATGTTCTAATGTAAAGGAGTAGCTCATAACTTAGATGAAGGCAATGCTGGGGTTTTCACAACATACTGGACCAAAAACTTATCTATTTTACCCCAGTGGAGCATCCATGGAGAGCCAGAAGTATAAACATGAATGTGAACTTGTGTCAAACTTTCCTAATTCTCTATAGAATAATCAACGGGCTTGTCAGAGCTATCAAATGTGCTGTTGGATCCAAGAGTCTTTAGCAAGTATCTGCTAAAAAGGGACTGAGGGATGAATTGGGACTTCAGCTGTTTGAAACAAAACTCCACTGGCTGAAAAGGACTCCAGAGATAGAATAGAATAACAGAGTTGGAAGGGACCTTGGAGGTCTTCTAGTCCAACCCCCTGCCCAGGCAGGAAATCCTCACCACTTCAGACAAATGATTATCCAACATCTTCTTAAAAATTTCCAGTGTTGGGGCATTCACAACTTCTGCAGGCAAGTTGTTCCACTTATTAATTGTTCTAACTGTCAGGAAATTCCTCCTTAGTTCTAAATTGCTTCTCTTCTTGATTAGTTTCCACCCATGGCTTCTTGTCCTGCCCTCAGGTGCTTTGGAGAATAGCTTGACTCCCTCTTCTTTGTGGCAGCCCCTGAGATATTGGAAGACTGCTCTCATGTCTCCCCTGGTCCTTCTTTTCATTAAAGTAGACATACCCAGTTCCTGCAACCATGTTTTAGCCTCCAGGCCCCTAATCATCTTTGTTGCTCTTCTCTGCACTCTTTCTAGAGTCTCAATATCTTTTTTACATCGTGGTGACCAAAACTGAATGCAGATCCTGGGTTTTCTCTGAGGGTCCCCTGAACAGTTTGCTTTTGCTCCAAGACCAACTTGCTTTGGAGGAGGTTTTGCTGCTTCGGCTTCTGTGCTGCTTCTTCTTCTTGCCTGGAGAGGCACCTGGGGAGGGGAGGGGAGGGAGGGGAGGGGGAGGAGAACACAGGCAGCAGGAGGTCATTTGTGCAGAGATGTCACCCACTTGTGTCATTAGCTTGATGGCTTGTAATGGGTGTCACTGCAAGGACCCAAGTTAGTGTAATAGGTTTGTGTCTGTGCGGTTTCTGTGTCTACATTGTGTCTGTGTCTCAATTTAGTGACCATCGACAGATCGTCGACAGACCTACCCAAAAGGTACTTATAACCTGGATTTGAAGTTCTGACATGTGCTCCTCCCCTCTGTGGTGACATGACTACATTTTGGGTAAACCCAAACCAGTCTTACAGCCATCAGCAGCATCCTGAGTTCCTGTGGCTGAGTTTTATGACGTTTCTGCCAGAAACCAGATTTACATCTCACTTAATGACTGCTACATTTTGTAAAAAGCACTGCAAGGAAAGTGATAAAAATCAGATATGGTCGCATGATGATCCCCTTAACAATCATCGTGACTTATGACCATAATTGCATAAATTGAGGATACCTGCACACCGTATCTACCTGTATTTTGTATATACTGCATCATTAAACTTACCTGCAAGATAACCTCCTTCTGAGTGACTAAATCCTAACTCTGATGGAGCCACAAAAGTAGGTCTGGAGTGAGCTGAGACCTGAGTAGCTTAATTCTGCGAGGGGGCAGCTGGGTCAGCAGGACTAAAGAAACAGGGTTAAGGAGCTTAGATTCATTCCAATTCCATAATCTTTGTAAATGCAGTGACTTCTGTTCCATTAGATAACTTCCAGAGGGGCAGCCGCGTCCTTTGTAGCAAAAAGAACGTTTTTGGGGTGCCACGTCATGATCACTTATATGAAAGGTTATGTTGTTTTGTTAGTTGCGAAGTCATGTCTGACTCATCGCGACCCCATGGGCAACGTTCCTCCAGGCCTTCCTGTCCACTATCATCCTCTGGAGTCCATTGAAGCTCACACCTGCTGCTTCAGTGACTCCATCCAGCCACCTTGTTCTCTGTTGTCTCCTTCTTTTGCCCCCAATCTTTCCCAGCATTAGGCTCTTCCCCAGTGAGTCCTTCCTTCTCATTAGGTGGCCAAAGTATTTGAGTTTCATCTTCGGGATCCGGCCTTCTAAAGAGCAGTCAGGGGTGATCTCCTCTAGGACTGACCGGTTGGATCGCCTTGCAGTCCAAGGGACTCTCAGGAGTCTTCTCCAGCACCAGAATTCAAAGGCCTCCATTCTTTGGCGCTCAGCCTTTCGTATGGTCCAACTTTCACAGCCATCCATTGCAACTGGGAAGACCATAGCCTTGACTATACGCATTTTTGTTGGCAGGGTGATGTCTCTGCTTTTTAGTATGCTGTCTAGGTTTGCCATAGCTTTCCTCGCCAGGAGCAAGCGTCTTTTAATTTCTTGGCTGCAGTCCCTATCTGTGGTGATCTTGGAGCCCAGGAAAATAAAATCTGTTACTACCTTCATTTCTTCCCCATCTATTTGCCAGGAATTGAGAGGGCCGGATGCCATGATCTTAGTTTTCTTAATGTTGAGTTTCAAGCCAACTTTTGCACTTTCCTCCTTCACCCACATCAAGAGGCTCTTTAGTTCCTCTTCGCTTTCTGCCATTAGAGTGGTATCGTCTGCATATCTACGGTTGTTGATATTTCTCCCGGCTATCTTAACTCCGACTTTTGATACATCTAGCCCCGCCTTTCTCATGATGTGCTCTGCATATAAGTTAAATAGCCAGGGCAACAATATACAGCCTTGCCGGACTCCTTTCCCAATTTTGAACCAATCAGTGGTTCCGTGTCCAGTTCTCACTGTTGCTTCTTGACCTGCATATAGGTTTCTCAAGAGACAAATAAGATGGTCTGGGACTCCCAACTCTTTAAGAACTTGCCACAATTCGTTGTGATCCATACAATCAAAGGCTTTAGCATAGTATGGAAGCTCATATATTGCTTATATATTCCTTATATGGAGGAATCCTCAGCTGATAAAAATGGTTCAGTGTAGTTTATGACTTTAAACCCAGAGACTTTTTTTTCTTAAGAAATTGGTCTTGGGATGTTTCCAGTGATGAAATGGTTCCATGCCCTGAAAATGGACGCATTTTACTTTTCATAGCTTCCCTCATTTGGCTGCCCTTCCTCTGCTTCTGACAGCCGCAACCATCTTCAACTAGTCCTCAGGTTACCATAGCAACTGGGACCAGAATTTTTCACACTAAGCCTTGCGGTCATAAAGCAAGACGTCAGGTCACCTCCGCATGGCTCACTAGTGGCCGTCCCAGCAGGCCCTGCAGCCGTGATTAAGTGAGGACCGCACAGGTCGTTAAGCAAGAGCCTCTCGTGACCACCCCGTGGGAAGAGGTGTGGGAGCCTTTTCCAGGCAGGCTGGTAGGCCTTACAACACTTCACTCAGTGATGGTCCAAAGTCTCAAGGGCACTGAAAAAAGCAGCTTATGACCGTTTTTCACACTTATGACCGTTATAGCATCCCCAGCCACATGAGGGGAACAACATGGGGCCTTCCCCACTGAGCAAGCAGGCTGCCCATGGCGATTCTGACCATGAGACACTGCAGCTGCCCTAAGGCCCACCTGGTTGCCCAGCGCTCCACCTGACACGACAGCAGGGATGGTGCGACGGCCAGAACTTTGAGGACCTGTCGTAAGCTGCCCTGGGACAACGCCGTCATAACCCTGAAGGGTTGCTGAACGAGTGAGCGGTCTTACCCTGAGGATCACAATATGTTTTTAATAGTACGATAGCCCCAGCATAGTAGGTACTCCACTTCCCTAATTGCAAAAGCATTTTTTAATATGCTGAAGATGATTTCCTGGATTTAAACCCAGCTGAAGCCGGAAGAGCCTTGATGGCTGCATTCATCCATGTCTCTCTGGAGGGAATCATTAATGAGCGTGGTCTTGTGATCCCAAAGAATCTGCTAGTGATCTGCTAGTTGGGATCTTGCAAAGAATCCACTTTCACGTATCCTGCCTTGAGCAGGGGGTTGGACTAGAAGACGTCCACGGTCCCTTTTCAGCCTTGCA